AGGCTTGTCCCAGCAGCAGCAGACGAGGTGGCTCTGGGAGCAGGAGCAATGTTCCCACGGCAGCCCTGGCACGCCCAGCCCCGCACCAGCTCCCCGTGCCACAGCCTGGGTCCAGGCGTTGGTCCAGGAACAGGGCATGGTTCGGTGCCGGCAGCGACAGGCCCTGAGCACGCCACGGGCTCCGGCTCCCTCCTGCCGGCCCCCACGCCACGCGGCCCCAGAGAAAAATGCATGTCCAGAGTCTCCCACATCACCCCGATGCAAGAGCCCAGGAAAACTGGCACAGCGGCCGGGGCCGGACACTGGCGTCACCCGTCACCCAGGGGCTTCGTACCACTAACTTGAGCTGGAAACACGGAGGTGCTCTGGGTGCCGTGCCGGGGAAACTGGGGCTTTTAGATCAGGCTCTGGCTTTGGGCACTGTTGCTTGATGGTGCTACTAAAGAGAAAGCCTCGGTGCTACTAAACCAAGTGGAAGGGGACGGGCTCATCTCCATCTCCCGGCAAAGAGGGAGACGTACCCGGGGCTTTTGTCACCGGGAGGCTTTCATCCTCACCGGGACGCTGCTATCATGGCGATTTCGCGCTCCTGTGCGAGGAAGCTGCCCTCTGGGAACACACCGCTGCGGTCAGGGCGAGTCCTGGGCAGACGGGGAGGAGACAAGCCTCCTCCCACCACCAAAAACTCAGCAGCACCTGGCACGGTGACAGCTTTGCCAAAATGATGGCCGCCACCTCGGGGCAGGGAGCTGGAACAGGGCTCCCGGCACGGCGCTCACGGGAGCAACGTGTTGTTTTCCGGGAGCCCACGCAAGTCCTGCTGGAAAACGTGACTTCAAAGGGGTGAATCGCAAGGATTTGCCTTTGCTCGCCAGGGCACGCGGGGCTGGGCTGGTGTGGGTGCCTTTGCCACGGGGAAGGGCTGCTGGGGAGAACCCGCGTGGCTGCCACGTCCCCGACGGGGCTCTGGGAGCCTCCCGGTGCCGCCACCTCCGGATCCGTCCACCATAGTGGTGGCTGGGTACGTGACCGGCTGCCACCGCCGCTGGCACAGCCCGAACGTGGAACCAGCGGTACCACGGGATGTGGCTCATCTCCCTTGATGGGGAGGACGGATCCGGTGCCTTTCTCCGGATCCAGTGCCCTTCTCCGGCTCCCACTTACCCTTCTTCTGGATGATGACCCTGAGGAGGGGGTTGGCGGAGGACAGGGCTTTGTGGTAGTTGTCATCATTGTTGATGGGCAGGAGGTCGCCGTGGATGTCCGTGTAGCCCAGGAGCACGTCCACCCGCGGGATCTGGTGCACCGTCTGCAGCAGGCGGTAGAAGTCCTGGAAGCTGCCCGCGACGGAGCGCTTCATGGCGAAGCGGCGAAATTCAGCGTCGAACTGCGGAGGAGGAAGAGGAGGAGGAGGAGGGGGTGAGGCTGGAGGAGGAGGCGCGGGGAGGTCTGGAAGCGTGGCGGCCGCGCAGCGCCCCTCCCAGGGGGCT